CAAAAAAAAAAAAAAAAAAAAAAAAAAAAAAAAGCTCAATGGTACTAAAACTTAGAATATGTATTACATTTAAATTCTGTCAGGCATCTTTCTTCATCACACCTACTGAAGTAGTAAGTCAACATATTTATATACACGCTGTGATGACCTATCATTTTCTCTTAAAGTGCAAATTTCAAATCTGAAACAACTTTCATTTTTCTCAAAGTATAATTTCTATATATACACAGGAGATGAGAAGGTATGTAGTAAATCTTTGGACACGTATAACCCATTTCACAGAAGATGAGCTGATGCCTCAAAAGTGATTAGGAAACATACAGGGTGGCCTCGACTAGATCTAAATTATTTCGATCTTATTTAGATCTTCTACAGTGAAATTATTTTCAGATATAACATTTTATATCCAGTATGGATACACCACGGTGCTCTGCCAACAAACAAACTTTACAGGGCCAGGGATTTAGCTCAGTGGTACTGGGCCTGGCTTGTAAGCACAAGGTCCTGAGTTTGATCCCTGGTACCAAAAAACAAACAAAAACTTTACAAACCTTGCATTGAGAATCTTGCAAAACTTATAAACACTGTATCGTCATCAAATGAAAGAAAATTCCTAAGTGAATGGGACAGAACACATTATTCACTGAGAAATTAGAGTAAAGATACACAGATAAGGGCCGGCAATTTAGTTCCGTGTCACTTCGCCTGCCTCTTAAGCCCAAGGCCCCGAGTTCAATCCCTGGTACAAAAAAAAAAAAAAAAAAGATACACAGATAAAAGAGAAACAAGAACATCAAATACAACGTTCTATGTCCTAGCATTAGATGACCCAATGCCACGCTCTCGTGTACCAGTGCCGGTCTCATCAGAGAAGAGACAGGGAGAAGCCGCCCAAATTTCACTGACTGAGGTGAGGAGAATGAAGCCCTCTCTCGCGTTTTCGTCAGAACGTCTCACTGGCGAAGCCCAGCTACCTCTGCTACGACCACCGGAATGTGATCCACAGTGGCCCTGGTGCTTCTGATACTGTACTGCTCCATCCCCAGAAGACTGATTACAAACATCTTCATAAGAACACAGAGACACACTCTATCTCAAAAAAAGAAACTGTACAATTATTAGCTAGCTACAGAAATAATTCCTGTGTTATGGGAAACAACAGATGTTCTGTGGAGAGCTGGCACACACTATGACTTTAACCAATTTAATATTTTGGGGACTAAACAACAGTTTAATCTAATAATTGCGATTCCCATGGGAGGAAAACTCACCAACTTGTTAAAATACCACAATTCCAAATAGCTACAGTAAGGACAAAATATGTATCAAGGTCACAGAGAAATAAACATGATATACCTCCCCAAGCATTTATTTCACTTTATAAAGTTTGATTTTCAATGAAAATAAATTGTATTACCTAACGTTATTTTAAAATGCTTAGCTATGTTCTGTAGTTTGTAGCAATGTCCTTTTAATGTGAAACTGAATTATGAAGCTTTTATCTAGGTCATTGATTTCCAATATGCCAGTTCAGAGAAAAGCATCTGCACTGTTAGGAGTTACATTTTTAAAATTAAAAATTACAAAGACTTGTTTTATCCTAGAAAATTCATTGCTTCTGAGTTGGTACATCACAATATGGCACATTTTCTATAAGAAGATCTTTCCTAGGGACCAATTCTAAAAGAAAAAAAGAGATTAAAATTAGAATTAGTCACATAATCATTGAATTAGAATTAAATACAAATGTGCTTTCCTCCCTAAAATTTATTTATTTTCCCCCCTAAAATTTATAACAGAAAAATTTCTTGTTTTAAGGTAAACATTCCAGTGACATTTTGTTTCAATCGACAATCCTTAATTCTAAATGGGGACATTTAATAGGATTCTCATCTCAGATTGTATAAAAAATACATAGGACCAACTTATTTCTTTATTATTTAGTAAATATAACTAATTCAATCATGGATCAAAATTCAGCCAAAACACATTACTGACCGTATGAGATTCCAAATGTAAAAGATAATGGTAGCTTCTTTTCAGTGCTGGGGATGGACTGAAGGACCCCACAGACACTAACCATGAATTCCACCATAGAGCAAAGCCCCGCCCTACAGTAACGGCTCTTAACTGCGAGAGCTCTGAGCACTCACACCAACTGGAGAGTTGCACGGGGATTCAGCAGCCAGGAGCCAGGGCTTTAAATCTGGATTATGTGGGAGAGGCCAGCACAGCGAACGATCCAGTCCAACACACCAACAGTACCCCACTGAGAAACACTGCTGAACCGCGAACTGTTGAGCTGGACAGCCGGCATCTCCGTGCAATCAAAATACAGCTCTTGAGGTGGAAAGTTTTGAAGAGATACATGATTTTTCCTTCTCTTCTCCATAAAGGATAAAACTTGCCTATAGTGGGAGTGGTGGTGGAGCACACCTGCAATCCTAGCACTCTGGAGGCTGAGGCAGAAGGATCACCACGAGTTCGAGGCCAGCCTGGGGTACAGAGTGAGTTCGAGGCAGCCTGAACTACATAGCGAGAACCTGTCTTAGAGAAGTGACACACAGTGTCATGGCGATGACACACAGGAGACAGTTGCTTACAAAGGCCAACGCTACACCATGATGACAACAAAGAAATAACTTGCCTATATTCTTCAAAACGTCATGCGCATGAACGATGAAGAAAAAAATAAGGGTCTGTGCCAGAAAAAGAAGACAAGAGACTAAAGAGATACAGTGACTAAATGCAATGTGTGATCCTGTAATCCCAATACTTTGAGAGGCTGAGGCAGGAGGATTGCAAATTTAAGCTTAGCCTAGGCAATTCAGCGAGACCTGTCTCAAAATAAAATGGGAACACAGTTCAGTGTGAAGACCCTAGGTTCAACCCCACTACTGAATTGGGGGAAAAGGGCACTGTTAGGACAAAGGAAAAAAATTAAGTCTGCATCGAAGTTCATATGCTGTTTTTGATATTTATACTGTGGTCACATTAGAGAGTATCCTCATATATTTAGGATATACCCATTGCAATATTTAAGCATATTAAGCATATCTATCCCAGTCACGCATTCTGGAGCGGGGGAATGACCGCAGGATGGATTCAGGAACCTACCACACCCACTGTGAGTCAGACCTTTGCTAAAACTCCATTGATCACCTAGCTTCCAAAGAACCCTACCCCCCTCCTTTTTTTGGGACAGGGTCTTGTTATACAGTTCATTCATGATTTTTTTTTTTTTTTTATACCAGGGATTGAACTCAGGTCCTTGAGCTTGCGAGGCAGGTGCTGGAAACACTGAGCTAAACCTCCGGCTATGATTTTTTTCAATTCTCATTTTGAAGTAAAGGGACTTTTACGTCTTTATCACATTCTCAGAAAATTCAACAAATGAGGGAGGGATGAATAAAACAAACATGGTAGGCTATGAGCATTTATAGAATCTAGATAAAGGAAATCCTCAAATCCTTCAACATTGCTTGCATATTTTTGCAAATCTGAATTATTTCAAAATAAGTTTGTTTGTTTTTTTTTTAGCCAGGCATGGTGGTACATGCTTGTAATCCTAGCACTCGGGAGGTTGAACCAGGAAGATCACTGTGAGTTCAAGGCCAGAGCTAATAGTGAGTTCCAGGTCAGTCTCAACTACACAGTGAGACCCTGTCTCAAAAAAACAAAAAACAAATAAATAAAAAGTTTTTTTCCTGTGTGTGTGTGGAGGGCATTTGTTTTTGTGAGACAGGGTCTTGTGTATACTTCAGCCTGGCCTTAAATTCAATATGCAGCCCAGGCTAGCCTCGAGCTCATAGCACTCCTCCTGCCTCAGCCTCCCAAGTTCTGGGTTGACAGATGTGTGCCACACCTGGTAAAGTTTTAATTTTAAATCACTAAAATTCAATCCAGAAGAAAAACTGAAATCTTTACTTAATTAAAAGAATTGTTCTGGCTAAAAATAATGCTCTTATTAGAGAGATGATAAATTTGGCTTTCAGAAAGGAAAGCCAGTTAAATAATTATATATTATTTAGCCATTATCTCCGCCACCATTGGGGATTGAACTCAGGACCTTGCACTGCCTCGGGGATGCCACTTATCTCACTTATTTTTATTAGCTCTTTGGAGGTTTCATAAGACAGTAAATTATAACGTGGGCTTTAATGTATCAACAATGGATTCATGTTTCACTTATCAAACTACATGTGTTGAATTTTTTCTTTGGTACTGGAGATCGAACTTGGAACCTTGCTCTTGCAAAGCAGGCAGGAGAGCCAATGAGCTAAATCACCGGCCCTACATATGTTGTGTTTACATTAGAAACTACATCAAGAGGGCCAGGGATTTAGCTCAGTGGCACTGCACCTGCCTGGAAAGCACAAGGTCCTGAGTACGATCGCCAGTACCACACAGACACAAAAAAGAAATTACATCAAGAAATGAGATACTACAATGGACATATCAGTCACTTTAGCTTAGGAAGTTTACAATCTAATGCAAAAGAAACAAATGACAAATTATAGTAAAACATAATTTGTGTAAAAGTTCTAACAATACTTTTATGTAGTAACAGGAGAATAATAGCTAAACATATTTATTATTTTAGAATGCATTCAGCTCTGCAAAAGTTCAACAGTGGCTTAAGTAAGAAATATAATTTTTGCACACTATCAAGAAACACAGGGCCAGGAATGGAGCTCAGTGGTGCCACCACCTGCCTCTCAAGCACAGGGTCCCAAGTTCAATCCACCATACCAAAACAAACACACACACAAACAAACAAAAAGAAATGTAATTTTCTCACACTATCAAGAAACAGATTGAGGCTGTGATGGGCTACTGTCAGTCCTTGGCCCCCAAGAACCCAGTCTCTTCCTCTCTTCCTGTTCCTGTGTGGTTTTGCCTTCTCTGCTGCTGTTACACGTGTGCAGACCAGGCAGGACAGAAAGAGAAGCGAAAGGGGAAAAGGAGAGTGGCAGATCAGCCAGCCCATTCCTTTTGATTCTCGTGGTACTGGGAAGTGAAGTCAGGACCTTGTGCTTGCGAGGCAGGCACGGCGCCACTGAGCGACATCCCAGGCTCGGCCTGTTCCTTCTTCACAGGAAAAACAGTGGCTTTCACAGAGGTGACACACAGGAGACACCTGCTTACACAGGCCGCAGCTGCACTGCAGGCAGGCACACCACCGTCACTCCCACTGAGCGGGCACCACCGGACTCCCCGCCCGAGGCCTCAACCAGCCTCTCGTCAGGGATCTCTGGCTGATGTGCCAGCCTTTCCACTGGGCCCACTGTGACTTCTATGGTAGATAAGAACCAGACTTTATACAAAATACAAATATAAGTAAAGAGTAGAATAAAAAGTTAAAATGAGGAATACATGGCAGTCACCGGTCCACAGAAAATCCTAAATAATGCTGGACAGCAAGAGCAAGGACTCCCTGTTCTGTCAGGCAACCTGGCAGCAGCTAGCTCTGCTTTCTGGGAGACTCAAAACCTCCTCTGTCCAGTCCTTGGGGCTGTCGTCCTCTGAGTTGCCGAAAACTTTTACATCTACTTTTCCCTGACAGGAGGAGTTCAGGAGCCCGGGGACAGGATTAGGCGGGACTGGAGTTTCTCGAAGTTACAAGCTACTCAAAACCTTTCTTAATTTCAAGTCTGTTTCCAGTCATATTTGTGCGTAAGTAACCCACAGACAAAATCTTGACAAGGGCTTTTTGTTTTGTTTTGTTCTTTGAGACAACGTCTTGCTATACAGTCCAGGCTGGACTTGAACTCACTATGTAGCTCTCGCTGGCCCCAAACCGATACTGATCCTCCTGTCTCAGCCTCCCAGGTTCAGGCATTACATGCGTGTGCTGCCACACTCAGGCTGACACAGTCTCTAAGGATGAAGATCGTGGCCTGCATTCTGCCCAGCGCCCTGACTCTGGCTTTAATGAAAGCCGCTCTTAAAGCAATGATACACAATAAGCTCCGCCAGGAAAGGCACCGCGCACCCAACTGCTTCTGCCACAGTGCACCTTGGGACACTGACCTTGCCTCAAGCGAGAGCTGAAAGCCGCTTGGTTGTATTTCAGTTTCAGCGGAGAGGGGCAGCTGGCATTTTCAACTCTTCACAGCTCTAAATTACAGGACTCTCAACCAGACTTCAGGCAGAAGACAAAACTAACAGGTCATTCCATCTCTGCCTGGCAGATGACCAGCAGATGACGCTGTGCTCAGCCTCTTTTTCGGCACCATGCTAAACGCAGAAGAACCAGCCAGTGTACCCTGGAATCCTGGCTATTCCTCAACACCGGAGCCCCCCATAGGGCTTGGGCTGCGTCCTAACACCTTATGTTTTGCCTTGTAAGGGTCACCAGCTGGGAGCCTGAGACGGTCGGGTCCCTGATAGTCATGTTCCCCTGGACCCTCACTTTCCATTCAGCTGACGTCACACCTCCGATGGTTTAACCTTCCGTACCTCACTCCTTAACAACTTCTACTGGTTTAGTCACAAGTAACAGCAGTGACTCTGGCTGATCCAGTAGAAAAGGCATTTGGGGACAGGTTATCGGTTTAGTGTCATGGAACTGCTATGATGGCTAAAGAACGTGCCAGGCTTGAGACAAAGTTTCTGGGAACAGTGACTGAAGGTGCTTCCCACAGCTGGCCAACAATAAGAGCAGTTGCTCCCAGGGAGACACTGGGAGAACCTGGCTCTGGAAACCCTGATGCTATACTTCGGGGGCTGCCGGAAACAGCTGCGTCTCCCCGGTCACACCAGGGCCACTGCTCCTCCAGGACCCTGGTCCTGCTGATGCCACTCCTGCCAGCAGTCAACTCTGCAAGCCTCGTCCCTCCATTCCGCTCCTTAGAAGAGTGGGTGAGCGGCACTGTACCAAACGCGTGGGCCTGAACTGCGAAGGCAGCCGCAGACCCGAATTTCCTTTGTTCTGCCACAGGGGTTTAAAAGTCAAGCAAATGAAACCTCCTAAAAGAAAGCAAAGACTTTCAAAGTTGATAAATAACTAGAAAGTCTGTCAAACATCCACTACCTTACCCTTCACACAAGTGACCTGATTGGAGGCAAAGTATACCTCACAACTTAACTTTTCGGCATTCATGAACTGCTAACACGTTCATTAGGCCAAACGTAGCACACGTATATTTATGTACTGCATGTTATTTTCCACTGCAGTTTCATTTTACTGACTATAAAATCCCTGACTTTGCTACAGCATTAGATATTGAACTTGCCAAACTGTGATGAGGCAGGCGGCGGAACCACACAGTGAGATCCTGACTCAAAAAAGGTAAAAAAAATTCCTTCAAATCAATAATAAAAGGCACACAATCATTTAGAAAAATGGGCAAAAGACTCAGAAGGGTACTTTATCGAAGAGAATATTCTAAATTCCACACCTGAAAAGTGGTGGCACTGTACGAATTACCAGAGAAACACAAATTAAAATCACAATGTAATACCAATACACACCCACCAGAGGGCTACAATTACACACACAGTCGGACACGGTGGCACACCCCTATAATCCCAGCATTTACGAGGCTGAGGCAGGAGGACCACTGCAAAGTCAAGGTCAGCTTGGGCTACATGGCGAGAGCCTGTCTCAAAAAATCAGAAATAAATAAATAAACAAACACAGGGTAGCAAGTTTTGCTGAGGATGCAAAGACACTGAGGCACTTAGATGCTGCTGCCGGAAGGCCAAGTTAGTGTAAGCGCTTTGGAGAACTGCTTGACTGAAGAAACACAGACTCAATGAGCAGGAAATTTCACTCGGATGTGTACAACAGCTTGAGAGCAGACGGTCTCATAGGTGTGTGTGTGTGCACATTTCCCACCAGGAGGCACCACACTGCAGACACTGTCGGTCACATTCAAACTGGGAAAACCCAAACAAGGATGAATTGAGGCGTGCTCAACTGACCCGCACAACAACGCTGCTGTGCTCAACAACTACACCAGTCTCACAGGGATGACCCTGAGAGGAAGAAGTCAGACAAACAGAAATCCAGAATGAATCCATTTGTATAAATCTCAAACACTTCTACATAAAGTTCAAAACCTGCCGTGCTGAAAGTCGGGAGAGGGGAGAGGGCACTGTCAGGACACTGGCGATGCCGCTGTAACGGCTGGATGGGGAGCAGGCCAGGCATTTCCCCTGTTACAATTCACAGAGCTAAACAGCTACCTACTGTGTACTTTTCTGTACGCTCCTTATGCTTCAGTAGTCTGCTTAGAAACCAAACTGCTCAACAACGTTGAACATCACCTGTTTTGTTGCTGTCCCCAAGGACACGTTAGGGAGTGAAAATGAGATTGTGCTGAAACCCTGCCAGGAATCCTGAGGTTAAATGGAGGCTGCTCAACTATATTTCCATTTCCTACTTCTTCAGAATTAAAATAATGAATTATAGAACAAAAGGTAAAGAAATAGACTGTCTAGGTAAATTGTAAATAATGCCAGAAAAACGAGAAAACTCAAATAAATATGATAAAAATTGTTGTGTATATTGTAACAGCAGCTTTGCGATATAAGCAGGAGTTTAAAAAATGTAAATAAAAAAAGTCTACTGTAACAAAATTTCATAATTTAGCCTTGGATCGCAGCCCTACAATATTTATTACATTGCTTGGCAAAATCAAGCTATTTTACAACATTAAACGTGCTATAATTAGTTTTTTGTTTTTTGTGGCACTGGGTTCAAACCCAGGATCTTCTGCATACCAGGCAAGAGCTTGTCCACTGACCTATATAGTTAACCTTTTAAAAAATTTCATTTTCAGAAAGATCTCACCAAATTGCTCAGGCTGGCCCCAAACTTGTAATCCTCCTGCCTCAGCCTCCCAAGGGCTGCAATTAAAAACAACAAAAAAAGTGCTATAATTAAGAGCCATTTAATTGGTGGTATGCCTACAATCACCACTATTCAGGAGGCCGAGGCAAGAGGATCACTTAAGCCCAGGGGTTTGAGGCTAGTCTTGGCAATATAGTGAGACCTCACTTAAAAATAAAAACAGAGCCAGGGACTTAGCTCATTCGTTCTGTTGCCTGCTTCACAAGTGTAAGGACCCAAGTTCAATCACCAGTACCAAAAAGAAATAAATAAAAGCAAACAAACAAAGTGTGCAGAAAATCTTCAATATTCCAAGGCCCGTTACAAGCAGAATTCATTTTTCTTTAGTTTTACTTACTCAGTGTGTTGTGGTCTGTGTGGATACCTTGTATAACAGAGGTTCTGAGCAACAGTTCAACATCGGAACCTATTTTCATCAGCTGTTAAGAAATCCAAACAAACAATAAATCTTTTGGGTATTTCATATGAGTACATTATTTTTGAAAACTATACTTTTATCATTTTATTTGTATAGTTTTTCGTTGAGACAGAGTCTCACAATGTAGTCAAGGCTGGCCTCGAATTCACTATGTAGCCCTGGCTGCCCTCAAACTCATGGCAATCCTCCTGCCTCAGCCTCCTAAGTGTTGGGATTACAGGCGTGCACCAGGCGTATAATTCTTTCATAAATAACACGGCTTTTAACACTATTCCAGGCAGTACAGAAAGCCCAGACATACATATGTACGATCTTACCTTTTATCTGTCCATTTCACATTTTGCTCAAAAACAGATCTAGAGTATTTATGTTATAATGTGGGTTTTTCTGGGGAGGTACTGGGGATTGAACTCGGGTCCTATAATGTGTATTTTTTAACGCATTTAAATGCATACTCAGGAGGGAGGTTTTTGCAGTGTTGGAGACAGAACCAGGGCCTCACACATACTCAGCCGCCACCACACCACATCCCAGTGCCTTGACCCTGCAGCGGGATGACGCCCTGAACACCAGAAGCATAGGCTCAGACTCCGGACGCCGGGCTCCAACTCTGGGCGTGGCCTCCAGCGAAGTCTTTTAGTTTCTGACCTCATCAAATGCAAAATGAAGAACCAGACTAAAACAGTGGTTTTCCAAGCTGCAGGATCCTGAGGGACTTTTGAGATCCTTTCAGGGATCCTTGAAGTCAAAATTATTTTCAGAATACGAGCACTTTCGATAGCTTGCGTGGTGAGCAGAAGTAGAGCTTTCTCCATGGAAATATAACCTTTTACTTGAAAAAGCCAACAAACTATAATCTTTCAGACTCTGATATCTGGCAAACATTTTCTTCACCATGAATGAAATGAGTATGTCACGGAAGGAAAACAAGGAACAGTATTTCTCGACAATGACAAAATGCAAGCTTCAAGCAAAAGTTGGAATTCTGGAGAACTCGAGTCTGCTCCGGTGAGCTTGACACTTAAGGCTGTTTCTGATGAAATGGATATTAATATTAATGGGTACAGTTTTAAAATACAGCACCGTATAATGAACTGTGGCGACATCTGGAAGACCTGCCTTCCCTAGTGAAGCTGTACTTTCCAAATCGCCAGGGTCCGACGTCACAGCCGCGTATGGGTGAAAAACCCAGGCAAAGGCAAAGAGCAGGCGACACTGACAGGGAGGAAAGGAACAGGTCACCTCCGGGTCTGTTCTGAGTCCAGGACAGCAAGACGCGTTACAGGTAGGACACAGGAACAGAGGTCAGTAAAGAGAGTCTGCGCCAGATTTGCTAATTTACCCACATCGGTGACTAGGGCGCCTACATTCCGACGTCTGTCTGCTTTATCCCTACCTCACGCAAGAGATCACCAAAAAAAAGAAAACAACTCTGGCCCAATCTTTGCTTAAAAATTCCAAAGCACTAGGAGCACTTTAAGTTTGGTCACAAAAGTTGTTTATAAAATCAAAGGGCTACCCTGTTCATCCCGCACTGAAGCACACGATGACAATTTCAAACCTTTTGTGTTCATTAATTTATAAAGTGGATTTCACTGCTTAAGTGTGTATTTCTACACTGATGAGCGTATTTGTTTTGATCACTTCAGTTAGGTGGCCATAAATTTTGAAACTCTCACCATTCATTACAGCGAGCTGTAGTTTTATGGAAGATGTAATTTAGAGCTAAAGTGGGTTTTTTATGCATAGCTGCCTTTGTATTGTTTAACAGTATTTCTCGGCTATATAATCAGTTCCCAAAAGGTTGTAAAAGTACAGCTGTGGTCAATGAATGTATTTATTTGTTGTTTCACTCAACTATAACAAAACACTACTGTTAAAAATAAGTGTTTGTGCTATTAATTTATATATACGCGCACACACACATACATAAAAGAAAGCAAAGAAAAGAACGTGTGTGCCAGTTTTGGCCTGAGCATCAGAGGAGGCTGTGGGCAGCGAATGAAGCCTCCCTCCTGACACGGGGCAGGCCTGGCCGGGCAGGGAAAGGAGAAAAGCCGGCCTCCTCTCCCTGTGGAGGCGCAGAAGTGGAGGCGAGTCCTAGAGCTAATGCCAGAAACCAGGCTAGAGGAGAAGGAAGGAAGTGGACGATCAGAGGGACTGAGCAGATGGTCTGTGGGAATCCTAGAGCCAAAATCATCCACTGGCCTAGCATAACAGCGACTAACCTTGAAGAAATTACCACTTCTCAGAGTACATACCAAGGAAAATTCACAGTTATCTGAAAAGGCATTAGATACTTCCACCTTCTTCTTTACTTTCTTCTTTTTTTGTTTGTTTTCTTTTTGCTTTTTGAGACAGGGTCTATGTGGTTCAGCCTGGCCTTGATTCACTATGTATCCTGGGATGGCCTCGAACTTGTGGGGATCCTCCTGCCTCAGCCTCCCAAGTGCTGGGAATACATGTATGCACCACTACATCCAGCTACTTCTACCTTTTTCTAACTACGTATCTGTGTGAGGCTAAATATTCTTCATATATCTGAACCTAAAAAAATATTGTACTAGATTAAGTAAAGAAGATACAAGAATTTAGCTGACTTCTATTCAGACAGACATTAAGATTTGTACTAGGGGGCTGCGAGTTTAGCTCAGTGGTACCATGCCTGCCTCATAAGCACAAGTTCCTGAGTTCAATCCCCAGTGCCAGGAAGGAGGGATTTGTACTGGGGATTGTGGCCCATATCTGTAATCCCAGCTACTTGGGAGGCTGAGGCAGGAAGATTATAAGTTTGAGGCCAGACTAGGCAACGCAGAATGACCTATCAAAACAAACAAACAAACAAACAAAATTCCTTCTTGGCATTTTGGCTAAGATCTAGAGTAAAAAAAAAAATAATAATTTTTTTTTAGGAATAGGGACGCAGCTCAGCACTAGAGTACTTAGCTAGCATGTGCAAGGTCCTGGGTTCAATCCTCAGAACTACAATTTTAAAAAGAGATTTGAAAAAATGCAAAATATGCTACTCTTCTCAATTGTTTTTTGAAAATATAGCCATTTTTCACAAAACTGTGTTGTTTCTTAACATACACTGGGTTTCTTATTTTTAAATGAATTAAATACATTTTCTAAATTCTCAGACTAAATTCTTAAATATTGAGTGAAAGAGCTTTCAAGGGTCCTGAAATTTTAAGAGCATGAAGGCACCAAGTTTGAGAACTACTCTGCTAGTAGCACCTTGGTTTCCTCAGCTCCCTAACACAGGAGAATGTAATTATTTAAGCACTAGTAAGTACTCAATTGCAGACTCCTTAGAGAGAGTTGCAGGAAGTACAAAATATACAATTTACACAATAAATATCCATTACATATGAAATTAATGTTTCATAAGTAAAGAGAATCTGGGAGATAGTTTACTTTCCCAGTTTAGTTGATATAAACAGATCTCAATTTAAAAAAAAAATTCTTTTTGAGACAGGGTCTCAACTATGTAGTCCAGGCTGGTCTCGAACTCAAGGCAATCCTCCTGCCTCAGCTTCCCAAGTGCTGCCTAAAGATTATTTCTTTCAATTGGGTCTTGCTATGTTGTTTAGGCTGGTTTCTGACTCTTGCATTTCAGTGATTATCCTGCCTTAGCCCCCCAAGTAGCAAGGTCTACAGGTCTACATCACTGTGCCTGACTCAGTTAAAAAATCTTTAACCATAATTTCAAAATTTTAAAATAATTATCAATTACCAAAAAAAGTTTTAGGAATTTAAAAATAATTACCAATTACCAAAATAGACTAACAAAATTAAAAATAATTACTAATCAGTCTATTGAAGAGCAAATCATACAAACTTTTTTTTTTTTTTTTATACTGGGGATCCAACTTGAGAGCTTGCAGTTGCAAGGCAGGCAGCAGAACTGCTGAGCTAAATCCCCGGCCCAAACTTCTTGATATATCCTTTAACTTCTCTTCACATTATGAGTTGGTTATACATTCATCCTAACTCCTGCCATAAATAAATATATATTCCCTGTTTGTCCTATCATTTCTTTATGCAAAATCTTTCTTCTTTTTATATTACAGAGGTGGAAATACTTAGGCTATATCACTTTGTCTCATTAGCTCAATTATTACAGGTATTTACTCTTTCAAAAGTAGTATTTTAGCCAGGCATGAAAGTGCATGCCATTAATGTCCACTACCTGGGAGGCTGAAACAGGAGGACCAATTCTAAGGTCAACCTGTACAACTTATCAAGACTCTGCTGCAAATAAAATTAAAAATGGGCTGGGATATGCTGTCTGCCTCACAAGCACAAGGTCCTGAGTTCAATCCCTGGTACCAAAAACAAACAAACAAAAAACAGAGAGATGGGATGTAACTCAGGATTCCCTGAGTTCATTTCCCAGTACTGCTCCAAAAGTCTTCTTTTCTACTAATATAAATGCATTTTGATAAGATTTTTAAATTCATGGAAATTCTATTAAATATGGAAGACATCTCCTAATTTGTGCCTTCCTTTGTACCAAACTAATTTTTAGAATCTTAACTACCCCTGCAAATAGTTTTCTGTTCATTTTCTGTTTTAGGTCCCTTTTTCTACCTTTATCGTTAACACAGGAAGCTCAGGACAGAGACAATATACACAAGCTAGAATACATGTTATACATTAAAAAAAAATCACTGTACAGTTTTGCAATGATCCCGTATTAAGAATGCAAAGGAGCTCAAAGGCAAGTGTCTTCCACTACAGCAAGTGACCAAAATACAAATATAGGACTGTTCATCAGCTGTGGCTATTTGTGCTTCTGTCAACAGAAATTAAAAAACCAAACCAAAGCAAACCTGATCAGGTGTGGTAATGCACACCTGTAATCCCAGCACTCAGGAGGCTGGGCCAGGAGGATCATGGGGAACTCAAGATCAAACTGGAATATACAGTGAGTCCCATCTCAAAAATGAAATATAGTAAAAAATTTAAAAGTTTAAAAATGGAATGGCTGGCTGAGCCAGAAGAGTGTAAGTTCCTTCTGCAGCTCTGCGTTAGTGCAGCGCTCTCCTCCCTTTCCGAGACAGAACCATGCGGGTGGCCAGTCTTGCTCCGACCACAGCCATGGTACGCCCACGTGCTATGCCCAGGCAGTGCGCTGGGCCTGGGCGATTCTGACCACGATGATCTGAGGGGTGATCTGCACCACACTAGTGCAGGCTGCACACCACCAGGAGGGCGGCAAGCACCGCACCACAGGTCGGACTGCACAGACCCCACCGTGCTCCTCACTTGCTCTCTGCCAACAGTTTTACTGTAACTAAAAACCCCATTACCGTACCTCTTCTATTTTCCTAGGAGAAGTCTCACTTTTATTACTTTTGAATTCTTCGTTAATCTTTATTCTTGCTGCTAGGGGGGAGAAAAATACATGTAGTTACTTGTTTTCCTAGATTATAATTCCCATGAGAATAGTTTACATGCCATTCTTTACGAATTCCCTGGCATAGATTTGTCCTCGTGTAAAGCAAAGGATTAAAAATGTACTAAGTCTCATGGAGAAATCTGGACAGGCTGGGAAATTTGTAAAAAAAGGAAAAAGCTTTTAGCATTTTAATATTTTCCTACTCCAAACATCATTTGGGTACCTAGAGCCATTGAACTGTAATAAATCCAAATCAATGCTTTATATATAAATCTAAGGATTTATATTAAATGCTTTTTAAGATAGCAAAAAATGCGTACAACTATGTTAAACTATATATGCACACAGAGACAATGACATAGCGGCAAAGATATATATATATATAAATATACACATATACATATGAAATTTCAAGTGTCTTGGCTGACATGTAGTGCAAGTGACAAATAAAACGTGTGCTTATACACCCCACTGATACTTTTAGTCTACTGTGATCAGCCTTAGCGTGTTGGGAGCATTTACAGAACAATCAAGTGCTTAGTAAATATGGAATAAATATTAGCTGTCCTTAAAGTTACTTCACTTAAAAAGTTTAAATCCGCCATCACCTGCCTTGCAAGTGCAAAGTCCCAAGTTTAATCCCTGGTGCCAAAAAAAAAAAAAAAGTTCAAAGCCAGAAACATGCTGTGTTGGGAGAGGACAGGCATAAAACCTTCCTCCTATGCTCCCACATTTCAATATGAAGAACCTGGGCTTCGGAATCAACCCCAGCCCCACTGCTTCCTAAATATGATGACGTAGGGAAAAACCTTCCCTATTTTGTCAGTTTCCTCATCTGCAAAAATAGGAATTATAATAGCGCCTACTTGGCAAAGCTGACACGAGACTTGAAACAGGAATCTGTGTAAAGTATGCCTTACACGTGTGTACTTTAACATTTAGGAGGTTATTTCTGATAAATCACAAAAACCTGAATCTCTGGGGACAGTGGGGACATCTTCGCAGCGGCCCTCTTGCCCCAGGTGTCAGGGTATATGAAGAGTGAAGCTGAACAGGACAAAGGCCAAAAGGGGAGACCGAAGGAAGACAGAAACTACTTCAAACAGGGAGCTGCCAAACTCGGCCTCCGGGGACCACAGCCTGACAACTGCCGACTTCCAGACTGACTCAGTCTACTAACGGTATGCATTATCTGGGCCGAGAGAGAGTGAACATTCAATTAGCTTCCAGAGAAGTGGTCTCAGAGCCTGCACATAAGGCAAGCAGGCACTGAAATTCTGATTCGCACCTCTCCTCCATTACCTGGCTCTGTGATCGGTTCTGTGCAGTACAGCATGGCCTCAAACTCGCTGGGGGCAGGGATCAAACTCAGGACCTTACCCTTGCCAAGCAGGTGAGATGCCACTGAGCTACATCGCAGCTCCTATTTGCTGATTCTTTATAAAAACTTCATCTTTTAAATTCTTTCTTTAAGCAGTAAATGGTTTAGTGGGTTTAATGTAAGCTAATCTTAAAACAACAACAACAACAAAAGGGGGGCAATAACAGTTATTCCCTAAAATGTTCTTGAGCAGAGGCAGGGTTTCTCAGAATAGCAGCCACCTAAAGAACAGACTTGATCCAAAGGGGTAAAGAATATATGTTTATTTACCTTCTAAAGCTCTCACATCATTTTTAAAAACTTGTTGTCTAGTCCTGTGCAGGGTTTTAAAGAGCTGTAAAACCTGCTAAGAAAACCAATTCAGAATCACAAGAAGAAAATGCACAATTTACATAATTGTATTATAATCATTAAATAGTATTTAAACAGTATTCTTTTTGTTTGTTAAACTACTTTTCAGACTATGTAGTAAAAACTAGGACTTGCCAAGATAACTTTCCCTGTACGATTTAAGTTTAAGTTTAAGTTTGGTGGTAGAGCAAGCGCTTAGTATGTGCTGGCCTTAGGTTCATCCCCAGGGGAAAAAAAGAGTGGCGGGGATGTGGGGGGCTACTTAAGAAGTTAATAATTCTGCCAAAACCAGTGTAAGGTAGTCAACATTTCCAGTTTAGTATGTATACTATTTCTTCTCATCTTTCTCAATTTATTGAAACTTTAATTTGCTCTTAAAATTGTGCACACAAATACACAAAATCATGATTTTGGGGGGTACCAGGGATCAAACTCAGGACCTTGCACTTCCAAGGCAGGCGGTGGACCCTTTTTCTTTCTTATTTGGAGACAAGGTCTTGCTAAGTCACTCAATTGCCGTGGGCTGGTCTTGAACTTGTGACACTCCTGACTAAGCCTCCTCCCAGAGTGCTGGGGTTACAGTGAATTTATCCAACTCCCTTACTCCTTCCCGCCCCTTCTCAGGTACTGGGGATGGAATCCAAGTGCTGTCTCCCACTGCACTACATCGATGGCCCTTCTTCTTTTATATTTTGAGACAAGGTCTGGCTACATTGTCCAGGAAGACTCCTGCCTCAGTCTCCCCAAGTGCTAGAGCTATAGGTGTGCACCACAGCTCCTGGCTATGAAGAGAGCCCAGAAAAATGCTTCAGATAATTAAGGCTCATTTAATTGTAATTTCTCATAAGAGGACTTGAATACTCAGATTTAGGAATATCCTGAGCCTATGAAGAGATAAAAGGGAGTGAAAACAGCCTGGTGTTTGGTTAAAACAGATTTTCAAAATATATTAGTGACAGGCTGAAGCCATCTCTCACTTTCAAGTCCAAAAAGGTCCTATTGTCCTTCCAATGTGGCCTGTCCTTGGGTCTCTATTTTCTAAATTTACTTATGTTTTCTGAGACAAGGTCTCTATGCAGTTCAGGCTGGCTCTGAACTCATTATGTAGCCCAGGCTGGCCTTGAACTCATGGTGATTCTGCTGCCTCAGCCTCCTGAGTGCTGGGCCTGGGTCTCTATTTATTACTTTTCCTTATTTTGGGGTGTAGGGATTGGACCCAGTGCCCCAGCACTCCTGTATTAGTTCTTGGAGGCCATTCAATGCCTCAGACCCGAAACGGGTAGGTCATCCTTAGACACCCTGCTCTCAGTGGAAATGAAGGAATCTCTCTACATATTCTCCAGCCCAGAAACATCTTCACCTCCTCCACAACTTGTGAAAGTCACTCTGTCACTTTTCTGCCTTTGCTCTACATTAGTCCACAGCGACCTGACACTGAACATACTCGTGCTCTGTAGAGGGCCACTCAGAAGCCAAAGCACAGCCTGGAATCACACAGCATCAAGCCAAGGAACTCAAGTAGGAAAATGCAAGGAGTTCAGAGGGACCTAATGACATCCGCTCTGGAATCTTTCCTCTGGAACTGTGAAGTGATTCATTTCTTTTTGGGGGGCGCAGCACCACTGAGCTAAATCCCCGGCCCTTGGAGCAATTCATTTCTGTGCTTTTTCAAACATCTGTATTATGGCAGGTTGACTATCTCTTAGCCAGAATGGCTGGACCAGAAGTATTTCTAATTTCATGGGTTTATTTTGAAATACTTGCATGGACGTTATTGGTTGAGCATCTCAAATCTAAGCTCTTTTAGTAGCCAGTTGGTGCTCAACAATTTTTTAAGATTTCAGAACATTTCACATTTTGGAAGTCTGGACTGTACCAGGGATGCTTAATGTGTATTTTAAGACAGTCATAGGGAGTAAAGATTTGGGTACTGGGAGATACAATACTGCTATAACAAGTATTTAAAAACGTGATTAAAAGAAAACTTTTTTTTTTTTTTTGGCATTGTTTGGATGGGGTCTCACTTTGTAGTACAGGCTGGCCTCAAATTTGGACGATCTTTCTGCCTCAGCCTCAAGAGTGCTGGGATTACAGGTATAGTGTCACCATGCCCAACTTGAAATCCTTGGTAGTAAAAGTTTAAAGTACCTTCAAAACACCTTCAAAAACAACTCAGATTTTAAAGGTAGCACAGTAGAGCATGTTCTTCAAGTGTGCAAGGCCCTGAGTTCAATCCCTAGCACCATTAAAAAAAAAAAAGGAAACAAATGTGATTGCATTAGTATAAAAACCAGCAACTATCCAGGTGTGGTGGTGCACATTTGTAAACGTAGTACTTGGGAGGATGAGGCAGGAGGACGGCCATTGAATTTACGATCAGCCTGCGATACCTGAGAAAACTCCGGGTTTCTGCTGTGTCTCTGTTAATTTCTGCCAAAGCTGGGGCTTCTGTGCACCTTCCGCATAATGAATAAATGCTCCACCTCACTGGAGCTCAGAATCGCATCATCATCATTGCTGTTATTCTAGAGATCTAACCCCCAGGAGCGCTGTCACTGAACCATACCACAGCCTTTATTTTACTTTACTGCCCAGCCAGGACTCAAAGTCGTGATCCTCCTGCCTCAGCCTCCCAGAGAGCTGGGATTACAGGTGTACGCCACCACGCCCGGCAGGACTGCATGTGGGATCTTCCTTACTTCCCAGGGATGTGAAAAGGGCCCGGTGACGAACAGCCTGGCGGAGACGAAGCCGAATGGACCCAGCGTCTTCCCGGAGCAGGGCCCCCACGGCGCCGCGGACTCAAAGTCGTGATCCTCCTGCCTCAGCCTCCCAGAGAGCTGGGATTACAGGTGTACGCCACCACGCCCGGCAGGACTGCATGTGGGATCTTCCTTACTTCCCAGGGATGTGAAAAGGGCCCGGTGACGAACAGCCTGGCGGAGACGAAGCCGAATGGACCCAGCGTCTTCCCGGAGCAGGGCCCCCACGGCGCCGCGCCCCACCCTCCCCATGGCACCGCTCCCACCCTTCCCCAGGTCCTGTCACCTTGGCAGGCCGACCCATGGCTCTCTCTGTGGCGACGGCCGCCTCTCCACCGATCAAGTCGCCCCCGCCTCTCGACAACCAATCACATCCTGGCATGGCCTACCACTTTGCGTTCCTCGCTCAGAGCAACCAATCACAACGCAGCATCTCCCTCGTGAACCCGCCCTCTAGAATAGCCCTGGGAGACACTTCGCTAAACTAGTAGCAACTGAAAAACCGCGAGAAGTCGCGGATCGCGATTACGGGCCAAAGGAGAACGGAAATGACCTGGAAGCCATGTTTTCTAGGGGCAAAGTCATTTCCCGCGTGGAGAGTTTCTGGTACACATACGTACAGGGAGGGATTGGTAGTAAATGAATTGGTTTGGCGCCTACTGTATATGTGATTGCCTCCTGTTTGGGAGTTATGGTAGTCTGTTAACGAACTCGTATTTTAACCCCTCCTACTTGTGACTTTGTCCTTGGAAATGTGCACAAAAAGACCCAAGCTCTAACAACTACAACGGGCATTGATTGGAATCCTGATCTATAAAATTTATAACATATATTTCCTCATTTATTCCCCCGGAAGTTACTTTCTCAAGTTCACGAAGCTAATGAACAGAGGTCTAAGATAGAAATCTATGCCTGATCCCCAAGACTATTCTCACCCCTATATATATCCTGCTTGCTTGGCCTACTCTTTGGTTTTGCTGGAGTAGAAAATGTCTAATTTATTAGCGGCATCATATTCATAAACAATCGTAAAATACTTTAGTACATTTTAACTTAGGACCTCGCAAACATCAGGAAAAATCTCAATCTTTTCTACTTCATAAGCTTTGCTTTTGTACTCCCACCCTTACCTCCACCCCACGCCCTACTCCACCTTTCCCGTTAATTTAGGAAGGATTTGAGCGGGATTTTTAGCTTAGTGGTTCCCCTGCCTGCCTCACCAGTACAAGGATCCAAGTTCGATTACCGGTAGGCGATTTAGCTCAGTGGTTCCACGGCTTGCCTTGCAAGCGCAAGGTCCTGAGTTTGAACCCTGATAGCTAAAAAAAAAAAAAAAGACTTGGACCAGTAGATCTCTTCGAACCTTCTTCTTTACGATCTATATCATTATATATGTGTATTATAATTGTGTGTTTGTGTGTGTGTGTGTGTGTGTGTGTGGTGCCGGGGATCAAACTCCAGACCTTGTGCTTGTCAGGCAAAGGAAGCACCACTGAGCTGCATCCCTGACCCTGTAAAAAAAAATTTTTTTTTGAGACAGGGTCTCCCTATGTAGTTTAGGCTGGCCTTGAACTCCCAGCAGTCCTGCATCAGGGCCTCCCAAGTGTGCTGAGATTACAGGTGTGCACCACCAGGCCTCACAATTTTAACTTTTAAATCATCATGAGAACAGCAAGTTAATAATTAATTTTTAAGTAATTACTAAAGTACATTAGATTGGCAGAAGAGTTTTTGTTCTCCCCTTTCACTTGGGATTAAACCTGGACCTTTGCACTGAGCTATCTCCCCAGCCTTTTAAAAAAATTTTTTTAATACTGAGACAGGCTCTCACCCCATAGCTAAAGTGCAATCCCCTTGCCTTAGCCTCCCAGAGTACTGAGATTATAGGCCTGTGCCTCCACACCTAGCTGCAAAACAGAATTTAACATAAGCAAAGCATTTATGTCTGATGGTGACTTTTATCCAGAAAACAATAAATCAGATGAACTTTTACTATGCCAGCCGGTTCAGAAGAGTTTGAACTGTGTAGTCAGAGGCCTGTGTAGTAGTGGAAGCAGCCTTATATAGAGATGATCTTGTGATACTGTGTTCACCTTCTGAATGATGACAATAAAAGATGTTGTCTGTTTCATTTTATGATTATAGACCAGTTTCTTTCTTTTCTTTTTTTTTGGGGGGGGGTACTGAGGCTCAAACACGGGTCCTTGCACTTACAAGGCAGGCAGCGGATCCACTGAGCTAAATTCCTAGCCCTATAGATGAATTTTTTAAAAATTGGTTGTAATAATTTCTGGCTAACTGGGGTCCTGCATTCAGTTAATCAAAGGTTCAAATCTGCTCGTATTTGAAAATATAGTTTCTGTGATGCCAATTCAGTTCAGCCTTGTGACTTATCTCCTCTTAGATAAACCTGTATGCTTCCTTCGGCGTTCCACTAATAAGGTGGCTGCTCACCATTCTGGTTGTTCTAGGAACGTGTCCTGGTCTGTCTTTCTCTCAAAGTACATGGCCCACAATGAACAGAGAATCCCAACCTGTTCATCGCGGAAGTTCATGGAGCTATGTAGTGGGGTGGACGGGGCCCTTCAGAAGACGTCTATGTTCAGATCCCCAGAACCTGTGATGACATCACCTTGTGTGACAGAAGTGGCTTTGCAGATGTGACACATTAAAGTAAGGACCTTGAGATGGGAAGATTACCCTGGATTGGCTGGTGGGTACTTACAAGAAAGAGTACTTACAAGAGACAGGGAGAGGTTGGAAGATGCTCTGCTGCCGGCTTCCACTCCTTCCTCCCTGCAGGAGGAAGAAGCAACAAGCCAAGGCCAACAGGCAGTCTCTAGAAGGTACAGAGGCCAAGGGCTTGGGCCCTGGTGTGCAGCCCTGCTTTTAGCTAAGGAGAACCCAATCTGACATGATTTCCAGGACGCTCCTTGTTCGTGACCTCATCCCTCATCCAAGCCCTCTGTGGAGCATTTCCGAATCTCTGGCTCCCACATCTTCTGTCCTCACATCTTCTCTGTCACTTCCAATAGTGATCACAACTGGCCCACCTGGATAGTCAAGGAACCTCCCTGCCTTGAGATCCTTAATTTAATGCCATCTGCAAATTCCCTCTCCCATGTAAGGTAACATTCACGGGCTTCAGGAATCAGGACAGGACCTTGTGCATCTCACCACACCCAGTTTGGGTGAAGCCAGTCATAACGTTGAAAGGGAAGGAAATAAGGTTGGAGAAGGAGCCACAGGCCTGATTGCCTTGTGCCCTGTGAGCCAAGGTATGGACTTTGGATATTATTCTGTGACAGCACGGGACTGCTTGGAATGTTACCAGCAGACATCATGATTTTTTTTTTTCTTTTTTGGGTGGGTGGTTTTTGAGACAGGGTCTCACTATGTAGTTGAGACTGACCTGAAACTCACTATGTAGTCCAGGCTGGTCTAGAACTCACAGCGATCCTCCTGCCTCAGCCTCCTGAGTGCTGGGATTATAGGTGTGCACCACCACGCAAGGCTTGACATCACGATTTCTATTTTACAGAGGTCATTTGTGCTGTGTAGCAGTTGACTACAGTAGAAGCAGAGAGACTCTCCAGCTGGGAGGCCCGTCAAGTACCCCAGGCAAGAGATACAGTGGCTTGGTTAGGACAGTGGGGGTAGGGAAGTTAGAGTAGGATCGTGGCATCTTTTAAGTACAGAGAGATGACTTAGGATGATATCAAGGTTTTGGCTGGGTGTAGTAGATACAGGATGCTGCAAGGGGAAGTTCTGGCTTGTCGCGGAGGGAGTAAAAATGAATTTCAGGCGCCTAGTAAACTAGAGATAGGTGGTGAGCAATCAGTAATGTATCTTTCACACTAATCTGGAGTGAAGGGGAAAGATAAATTAGAAGATAGGTACCTGAGTCATTATAGATGGAACAGGCTTTGGACCTAGTGAAATTTGACCTTACTTTTTATCAGCCAAAATAGCATGTGTACTTTTTTTTTTCTTTTTTTAAGACAATACCTTGCTATGCTCAGACTGGCCCTGAACTCCTGGCCTTGAAAGATCCTCCGGCTTTAAGCTCTGGAGTAACTTTGAGAAAAATAGCACACCTTTCCTTTTTTCTTTTCTTTCTTTCTTTTTTTTTTTTTTTTTTTTTTTTTTTTTTTTGGTACTGGGGATTGAACTCAGGACCTTGCGCTTGCAAGGCACGCGGTGGCTACACTGAAGTAAATCCCCAGCCCCCGCCTCGTTTTTTTGACAATTTCACATTCACAGAATAGTTGCGAGAAAAATACACAGAAATTGTGTATACTTTTTACTAAAATTACTTTATCCCTTCCTACCTCTCTACTTATCTGTCTCTATGCCTTTCTCCCTTCTGAACCATTTGAAGAAATAGCAGATGCACCTGTGCCTCTGCATGCATCAGTGGGGTTTTCCTTCAGAACATTCCCTTGTATTGGTATCAGTGATCTGCAATAAACAGTTTGAGGCCCAGGAGCAAGTGTGACCCCTGGAAACATTTAGAGGGCCCTGCCCTGCCATCTGATTTGGGTAATGTTGATGTAGTTATAAAAGGCAATGAACATGACCTTTAAGCCTGTTGTTCCCTTTATAGGCATCACTGTACTAGAGTTCACCAAATATGTGAGGAATGTCTTTAATAGCAAAAGTAAAAAATGGGACCCTTTTGAGATGACAGGGAAACCCTGTCAATAACTTTTCCAAGACAAAGTGGTCAGGCGTCATTATAATGGGGCAGCTCAGGAGGTGTAGTTAGGGTTTTTTAATATGGACTCCTGGAAACTTGTCAGCTAAAAAGGCAGAGCCTCTGAGAAGTATGGACCTGGAGGCTCTCCTGTGTGAAGGAGCAGCAGCCTCTGCAGAGGTAGTAGGGAGGGAGTGGCCAACAGTGCAAATGATGCTAAGGATCCATGTGGAGGAAGTGGAGGTCCTTAGTAACTTTGACTAAAAGGAAATGGACTCCAAAACGAAGGGTGAGAATGTGGACGAAATATGAAGTCAACACTTTATAAAAGCAGCAAAGGAGCTAGGTGTAGCGGTTCAGGCCTGGAAGCCCAGCACTTGAGGGGCTCAGGAAGGAGGATCATGGAGTGGAGTCTGACGCCAGCCTGGGTTATGTCGTGAGTTCAAAGCCAGCCTGAACTGATACGGAAATAATGCACAACCGGGCAGCCTTCCTGCACCGTGTTTTTGCCGTAAGATGCTATGTTTAAGCAATGTAACTGTTTCAGCTGCTGGATAGTCCTACCAGAGGTTTCAAGAAGGTTCTGTAAGCGTGCTCGCCCAGCATGGATGCACACCCAATCACCCCGATCTCTATATAAGGCTGCTTCCACTACTACACAGGCCTCTGACTACACAGTTCAAACTCTTCTGAACCGGCCGGCATAATAAAAGTTCCCTCCATCTCTCCCCGTGGCGCCCTCAGGTATCTAGGTTTCTGGAGACCTTCGGTAGCTATAACAGTTGGCTGGGACCCGGAGCTGTAACACTTGGCTGTAATGCTGAGCTGTCACACTTTGCTGTAATAGAACGACATAGCGGGCCTCTGTCTCAAAAAACCCAATTAACAGGACCAAAGAGCCTGGTGTGGTTTTTGCATGCTTGTAATCCCGGCTGCATGGGAAACTGAGGCAGGAGGATTGTAAATTTGAGGTCAGCCTGGTCAACGCTGTGAGACTGTCTCAAAGAGGGTGACACAGCGCTGGAGATACACGTCCCTCAGTTTGAAGCGCATTCAATCCCCAGTACCAGGGTCTCACTATGTAGCCCAGGCCGGACTCAAACTCCTAGCGATCCTTCCACATCAGCCTTCAGAGTACTAGGATTACAGACGTGCACTACCATACCTGGCTTCAAAATTAAAAAACAAACATTTCGTAGGAGATGGCAGGGAGTGTGGGAGGGAGGAGGGAGGGTGTGGGCGTCTCGCGTGGCGCTGATTACGGCTGGGGAGGTCTTAGCGGAACAGTTCGGGGTCCCCGCCTGTCCCGACCCCAGAGGTCCTGGTTCGCTGGTGTAGGGCGTCCCCGAGCTCACAG